TGGAGCACCGTGTCACACTGCTAGAAACACCCAAAAGTGGCAGGAAGAAAATGGTATCCAGAAGTTGCCCTGGCCGAGCCAATCTCCTGACATGAACCCCATCGAAAACCTCTGTGCCATACTCGACAGGTAAGTCAAGAAACAACCAAAGAAACCAACTTCGATGAGCGATCTACTCCAAATTTTGTAGCAATAGTGGGTGAAAATCCCACAATCTAAAATTGACGAGATGATTCTCACGATGCTCCAAAGGATCAACGAACTCCACGAAGCGAAAGGAAGATCTACTACATATTCATTAAATTATAAATATATCAATTCATGTGAACATGACTGAAAAATTTCATTTTTTTTTCTGAAAAGGTGGTGTCTATTTATTTGTGACCACGCTGTGTATGTTAACTTGTTCTGAATATACATTTTGAAAACAAGTGAAGTGCATGCTGTTTATTCATCGTTGAATTTATCGCTAATAAGTCGCAGACACCTACTGTAGTAGTATCCTAAGCACAACAACAACATAGTATTATATTTATACTATTAAGAAATATAACTAAAAGCCTTTAATTGACAATGGGCGATAAAGAGAAATTATATATTTTTAAATTCTGACACAGAACATTGTGTATGTACGTGTTCTTGCCCTTTCTCTTTAGTTCATGTCACAGTGGTTTGGTAGCTTTTACGTACAAGGTTAAAAGCTGACATAATACTAAAGCAACTCTATGTATTCTGTTTTTATTGGCAGTGCCCTAAAAGAGCATTGTAAGAACAACACTAGATGGTCTTGGCCAGCTGAAATGACTGTTACTTATTCTTTGGAGGTCTCCAGGACGCGACTGTGTGGATTCAGTAAACTTCTCATTAGGTGGAAGGCAAGCATTTACAAGACACTCTGGCGAGAGGTTGCCATCTTCATTGTTTTTTATTATGCCCTTAGCGTACTTTATCGATATATACTAATGGAAAATCAGAAAAGGTGAGGCATTTTACTTTGCATAGTAAAAATTAACTGATATGAAGAATATCAATTTTGTTTTTTAAATAGGTGATTTTACAAAGATACCTTGAATATATACACCTGGAAAAAAGTTAAGCACCCCCGTGTTTTTTTCAAGTGATTCAGATTCGACGTTCTT